AGGAACCAGTTGCCTCTCTGTCCTACTCTTTCTCTAATATGAAAAAAAAATGGATTATATTCTCCCTGGGTTGTAAAAATATTCTTCTGAGAATGATTGTACCTGTCACAGATGGAATCTTGAAATAAGTAAAATGTTTAGGTTCATATTCTAGGAATTCCCTGGTGAGCTGAATTCTCCATGCAATCTTTAGTAATGTTGTTACTAACCTATAGGCATAAATGCTATTCGTGAAGTAGGTCTGTCGGTGGTGGAGAGAACAATAGGAAAAAGGTCTCTTGCATTTCTTTGGGATATGTGAAATTTTAGACTATCCTATTTAGAATCACTTTCGACATTTTTTCCTTCGGCAACTAATTTTTAAAACAGTTGCTATTAAGAGGCCCTTCAACTTCCTAGAAGGAGATAGACCAAGCAATTTAGTGAGACCATGTCTCAAAATAAAAATAAATAAATAAATAAATAAAAAGGAATGGGGATGTGACTCTGTGATAAAGTACCCCTGGGTTTAATCCCCAGTACCTTAAAATGTTTAAGAAATGATCAACTTCCTAGAAGGAGATAGACCAAGAGAAAGGGGGCTCACACCTTCTCCAGGGGCTAGAATCCCTCTCCTGTAGCCTGGAGTACCTCTTTCTCTCTATTTTCTCCCCGACATTACAGTTACCTTTATAAAATGTAATCTTGCTATTCGGAATCTGCAAGGATAAAAGGCAAGGTCTTCAATGCCTAGTTTAGTGAGATCCCTGCCATCTCTCAGGCTTCTCTCTTACTCCCCTAGTCACTCCTCACAACTTGGCCTATGCTATTCTCTCTGCTGAAGAGGCCCTTCCATGCACCTGTCTATCTGGAACATTCTGATTCATCTTCTAAGACCCAGTTCAGAGATCTGTCATACGAAGTCTTTCTCACCCCTCTTCCTTGCTCTGCCACACCACAAGATGTCCCTTTTGATTATTTCACAGGTATTTTCATAAATCTCACTTAGTTATTGCACTGAATGGCGATGGTCTTTTCTTGTTTATTTCATCTATTAGACTGAGAGCTCGCCGTCTATTAGACTGGAGGCTTGGGACTGACTTAGTCATTTTTGTGTCCCTGGAGAGAGCCTGGAGCTGCTCCTGGCACATACGTGACAACCAGTGTATGTTTTTGACAAACTGAGTGAAAGGCTGAACTGGTACTAATTTCTTAATCACACATAGAATGCTTCTTTTATTCCTTCAGTAACCTTGAATCCAGAGTTTACTCCCATCAAGTAGACGTTGATTGTTAACTGGTTAGTTGGTTGATTTGGTTCTGAGAGTGATGGGAGGGAGAAGATTCTCAGAAAAAGAAAAGGTCCATTGGCCTGAAAACTACGAGACCCTACATTTTTTGCAAAACCAGGTTCGCTTTCTTATTTGATTTCAATACAAGTAAGTATGCGAATTACTGCTGCAAATAATCACCTACTGCTAATAACATAGAGTCGAACGAGCCCAAGAATATAAGGTGGTCTCCTGGAACACATTTCTAGCCCCTGGAGAAGGTGTTGAGATATATATATATATATATATATATATATATATATATATATATATATATATCACACCAACTGACTACACAGAATAGTCTGGTAGAAATTAATGTAAATCCAAACAATCTGAGGAGGTTCTCACAGTACTTTTCCTGCCCAATAACTCTGGAGTTTGAGGCAGGAGGATCACAAGTTCAAGGCCAACCTCAGCAACTTAGTGAGGTCCTAAGCAATTTAGTGAGACCATGTCTCAAAATAAAAATAAATAAATAAAAAGGAATGGAGATGTGACTCTGTGATAATGCACCCCTAGGTTCAACCCCCAATACCAAACAACAACGAAAAGAATCCCTAAAACAATTTGAGGATGTCAGATCAGATATCCACTGACTGGCTAATCCCACCTCTGAGATCCCATCTTTACCTCAAATATTTCAGTTTTCCCTAGATGTTATGATGTGTATGGGAGGAAGCTTATGTGAGTCCAAACATTTTGATAAAGATTTTGCTTTACTAAAATCCTCCCCACACCTTTTAGGAGTAGGATATTGCTATGTTGCCCAGGTCAACCTTGAACTCCTGGTCTTAAGTGATCCTCTTGCCTCAACTTCCCAAGTAGCTGGAACTACAGTTCTTGCCACTCTAATACAATAATTTCTAACCAAACATTCACAGCCATGAGCAAAGAGCATTGTACATATCAGTGTATATTACATACACCATATGCAGTGATGGTCAGGATATATTGCTACAGGATTCATCCAAAGGACAAAGTTGACATTTTCCTCTTTTTTCCTCTCTGAGCTTCTTGATCAGTTCCTCAATAGCAGCTTAGGAAAGGGAAGAGCCACCATTAAAATTAAAAGGAGGAGGAGGAGGAGGAGGAGGAGGAGGAGGAGGAGGAGGAGGAGGAGGAGGAGGAGGAGAAAGGGAGAGGGGTAGAGGGGGAAGGGAAGGAGAAGGAGAAGGTAGTGTTTGGTTTAGGGCTTTGTGTTCCAGAGCCAAAGACATCCTGTTAGGTGACCAGGGAGTGAAGAGTGCTCTTGGAGGCCACTAGTGGCTACTGGGTGAACTGCAATAAGATGGCATCAAACAAAACAGAAGAAATGATTTTGCCTTCCTAGCATTAGTCTCTTAGTAGAGATAACTTGGGGAGAACATTTAGTGTCAGAAAATCTGCTTTTTGGACAATCAAGCAGAAATCTGAAACGTACAGAATCACCTCCTTGTTCAGATTTTTTGTATACTGGTATTGTTTTCTGTCCTCCTCATTTGGGACTTGACAGCTATGATTCCTAGGCTCAGAGGAATCAACTGCATGTCCTCCACAGCATCAGTGACTAGCTTACCTGAGTGAAAATATTAAATGAATGCATGGTTTTGAAGTCTGGAACTTGTCATTAAAAATAAGATTATTATGATGGTAGGGGTGGTGGGTCATTCGATTTGCAAGTGACTGTGTTCATTCATTCAAATCATTCTGCAGTCACTGGACTTTCATGTCCTTATGTCAGGATCTCCATGACTATCCCAGAGTGTCACTTGGGTTGTGGACACATGATTGCCAAGTAAATAATGCTAAATAAATACTTTTTTCAAAATAATTGAGTCAAGCTCTCTGTTGGGAGGTAGGGACCTCCCAACATAAACAAACAAAACCAGTTATGTCTGATTTTTTTTAATTACCTGACCTGAACATGTTCTCTGACAGTTTTGATGCCTTATTGGCAACATTTTGTTCTGACTTCAGATTTACAAAGTGTTGTATATTTCCTGTAGGATCAAGTATTCACTGGATACTTGTTATTCTGATCTTATAGGGGTATGATTATTTCCATGCTCCAAATCAATAAATATTTATTAGTCATGTGCTATAGGTTAGACCTACTACAGACCCTATCCATCTGATCCTCAGGACAGCCTATAAAATAAGTGTTACTTCTGTTTTGCTGATGGGTAAACTGAGGCCACAGCACAAGATGACTTGCCCTGGGTCCTAGGACTGGAATCTCGGTGCTCTTCCCCCTGCATGACAGGGCTCTTTGCTCCCCTGCACTGTCTGTGGGAAGATCACATTTCTCCTCACCCATCCTGGTAAGGATGATGGTGCCCCTTGCTCTTTCTGCTCCTACTACCCACTTCTTCTAGTGTCTAGGTGCCCAGTGTCTTCTCTGCCAGAGGGGAATTTTGCTAGAGAATGGAATTCTCCAAGGTGACCTCCTAGATAGTTGGATGTCTGCTTTCCAATTTTGTTTCAGTTCTTAAAAAGAAAAAAGACTTCTGGTCTGGTCAGTGAAGGCGTGAACTGCTTGCTTTGGATCTGTTTCCAAACTACCTCTGTCACCGGGGTTGAGATAAGCTGATTAACATGTCCTTTCCCAACTTGGCTCTGTGGTTCTATTAGTGAGGTTTTAGAGTGTGGCCCTAGTTTGGAGAGTTAGTTTCAAATGAGTTTACCTTGCTCCTTCCAAAACTGTTCTCTGTGTTCAATTGAAGATGTCCTTGTGTTTTGTGAGCCTCTACCCCAAATCTGGAGGGTACCTGCTGAATACCTCTCTGTTTACACAGTTTGATATCAAATTGTCTAAACCCTTTCTCTCTGCTACCCAGAGCTCTGCCTCCACCTGGGTTTTCACACACACAGCCACAGCGTGACTGTGCTCACCAACCCCAGCAAGGAGGTGTTTATCCCCTGACGAGATGCAGCACAGAGAACCCTAAAGAGAAAAACTGGGTTTGGGTGCATAAATGCTCCTGCAAAAAGAGCTCTCAGCTAGATGCCATTCAGGGACATGAGTCTGAACATCCCTGCAGTGGCCCAAGGGAATGGCACCCGCATCACCAAGCCAGCTCTGGCACCTGGGCCCGTCACAGTTGACAGGGCTGAGAGAAGGTCAGCTGGTGGCTGCCATACCCAGAGCGGCTCCCATGGGATCAGGAGGAGGCAAGAGGCAGGGGAAACAGCTTGCCTTGCCTGCTCCCCTGGCTGATCTAGAGACAAATAGAGGGCTTCCATCTCTATTACTGTCAGAATCTGGCACCTCTCGCCAGCTCTGAAATTCACAGCAATGGATGGAGGAGGGAGGAGGGAGATGGAAGGAGGTGCAAGCCAGACAATCAAAAACAGACACAATATTTTGGAAGTGGAATCTTCCAGTTAGAGAGCATTCTCAAAAGTGTAGAGGCTGCTCAAAGGTGCATTCATTCAGCACACTTGTTTTGTGGAGGAAATGTAGTTGGAAAGTGGAAAGACAAAGAGACTTCCCTTGGGTTACAAGGTCAATAAGTGGCAGAACTGGGTAAAGGAGCTGGGTCTCTGGTGCTTTTTCCACTTGGAAGAGGATTTGGGAGTCCTTTCTTGCAGATACCGGCAGGGGCATCTTTTCTTGGAGCTCAGCTGAGACAGAGGATGCTCATGTAGCATCCACAGGGGAAGAGAGGCCAGTCAGGGCTCTGCCTGGATGCAATGGCTTATTCCTACCTTGCAGGTTGACACCCCGGGGCACCAGGCCCTGCAGCTCCTCTGTGGGGAGGTCGTCTTCTGCTGCATTGGAGTTGTTGGGTGGGATTGCTCTCCTGCCCCCAAAGGTGGTTCTGGAAGTGTCTGACATTCTCAGATTTGCAAGATCCTTGGGAGAAGAGGAGGAGACCACAGGAAAGGGAGTGTGAAATGAGTTCCATCTGAGACAAAGATTCCAAAATAGAGAAACAGACATATCGGCGTGTGACAGCACCCGAGCAACACATTCTGAGTTTCACATAAATAAAAACTCACAGTGGCAGCAAGGATTAACCTAATGATGGAGTGCAGTCCCCAAGGATTTCGGGGGGGATTTGTTCACCAAAACATATGGAAAACAGGGAAAAGTGGGTTGATGGGAGGGAATGAAAAACTTTAAACATTGTAGGGAGCAGGGCTTTCCCTTCCCCAAAATCCTGGAAAGCAACATCTTTGTAAGAAACATTGACTGACATAAGCATGTACCTATGCCCACTTCATATGTATTTATAAGGCCTAAGACACTTTTTTGATTTTTAGTTGTAGATGGACACAATATCTTTGTTTTATTTTTATGTGGTGCTGAGGATGGAACCCAGGGCCTCACAAATGCCAGGCAAGTGCTCTACCCCTGAGCCACAACCCCAGTCCCCTAAGTCACTTTTAAAAATAAATTCATACAACTGTTTCCAGGTAAGTGTTTTCTTCCAAAGCATTCCCATTTGCAGTTTAATTCAATCAATGTTGATTGAGGGCCTGCTAGGATCCAGACTGTGTTCTAGGTACTTGGGATAGATGTGTCAGAGAACAGAACAGAATTTCTGCCCTGGGAGATTATAGGGCAGTAGGATTAGGGAGAGGCCCCACCCAGAGTTTTAAATCAATCAGTTGGTGTGTCAGGGTGGGTGGAAGTGCTTTGGAAACAAGTGAGGAGATGGAGAGGTTAGGTGGTGGGAAGGAGGCCCACAGGCAATTTGGACTCTGTGCAGGCAAACAGCCATCCTAAACACCACACACCTTAGCTCAGCCACCAATAAGCACTTGTTGACCAACTGACCAAATGAAGGGGACTTTGTTTCTGGACCTTGATCACCTGGATCACCCTGTCATCACTCCTGGCAACTTGGCTGTTTTCACAAACCAGGCACACCCTCAAGAGATGAGGCCCTGCCATGACAGAGTCAATTAGATTAGTCTGGGAAATGTGGAGCAATAGAGCAAGAGGCTGAGGACAGAGCCATTTGCCAAGGTATTTGGTCTTGGAAGGAGACAGGAGTGTTTGGAAGGATAAGGTCCAAATAGGTATCCATAATGTCTCTAAACATACTTACTACGCACAGTCCCTGATGGGCTGAGGGGAGGGAGGGAGTCAGGAGAGACAAACAGGTTTAATGATGGAATGAAAGCAGGACAAAGCAGTCCCCTGCTGAAAAAATAGCAAAGGTAAGGGCTGGACCACTCCCGGGGCAGATTTGGAGGCAGGTTTGGAGTAGGACAGGAGGCCACGGTGCCACAGAATATCAGAAGAGGGAGCAGTTAAAGCAGAGAATGGCCGGGTGGGTGGCGCACACCTGTGATCCCAGCAACTGGGGAGGCTGGGGCAGGAGGATCGCAAGTTCAAAGCCAGCCTCAGCAACCTGGCGAGGCCCTAAGCAACTCAGTAAGATGCTGTCTCAAAATAAAACATAAAAAGTGCTCGGGATGCGACTCTGTGGTTAAGCACCCTGGATTCAACCCATATTCAAAAAACCAAAAAGCAGAGAATTGCGGTACCGCAAGGCCATTCTGGGTGGGTCTGGGGAAGGGGGTGGTTCAAGTTCAAGTTCAAGTTGCATTGGTACTGGGAAGCTGATGGGCAGGAGTTGGAATGGGAGAAGCTGCTCCTTTGCAGGCAAGTAGACATTCCTACCTGGTGCTAGCTTTTCCTGTCCCCTACTCCATACTTGGCCTCCCTGAGGAAAGGTGCCTGTCCCTTGGGGGAGCACCCCCAACTCCCCTATTCCTATTGGTGGGCCTCAGCAAGCAGTGCTTTCAGGATGGCTTCATGGAGTACCTCAGAGGTGTCCCGCTCTAGAGCGAAGCTGGGTCTTGCCGAGCGCTAAGGGGCCAAGAGCTGGGGCTGGAGGAATGGAGCTGCCTCTGCCCTCCTCTTGAGCAGGAGCAGCCCCCTCACCAGAGACCCAGGCACAGGGGTTAGTCACAGCTGGCTGCAGGGTCCCAGGGTGCAGGGCTGCGGCTTACCTGCGTGCGCTCCCCAAGGAAGTGCCCTAGCGCAGGCTCGCTCTGTGCCTCTTGGGGACTTCCTCAAAAGGACGGAGGCAAAAGGACCAGAAAGTTGGCTCTTAAATAACTTTCCAACAGCTCCCACCCTCCTCCGCCCGTCCTCTGGGGTTTTCTCCTCCCCCTTCTAAAGCTGGAGCTAGCAGAGGAGTTTCAAGGACTTCCCCTTTACTTCTGCAATCCTGCCCTGTTGATCAGGCATGCGCCCCCTTTCTCCCCGTCCCCGGCCCCGCGCACCCCTCTTGCTCCGGGTTTCGCATCTCCTCACCATCCCCATCCCCAGTTCTCCGACCCCCACCCCCTCCTCCCTTGGCTGCTGGAGTGACAGGCGGTCACCTCCCCTCCTCTTTGGTCAGATGGGCTGGAAGGGTCTTTCACAAAGGAATGTTTTTGCAATGCCAGTTTGGCTGATGTGGCTTGGCAGGAGGGAGGGTCTGCCCTCTCACAGACAGGTCACACAGGCAGCTGTGACCATGCATGAAGCAAAGCAATGTGTCCCTCTTGTGCAAATAAGGCTGCATTCTTGAATCATCTGGGGAGCCACAGCCACCGCCTAACCACAAGACTTCCTGCAGGACAGCGATGCCCAGCCCCAGGATGAGTAAATTGCCTTGAAGAGCGCCCCACAAATTAGAAAATGACACTTTCTTTTCTCCCTGAAAGCCATACTGATGTATCTTCAAAAATCAGAGAGAAATTGGTGTGAATATTCTAGGTGTACAACCAGAGATATGAAAAAATGTGCTCTATATATGTAATAAGAATTGTAATGCATTCTGCTGTCATATATAAATAAAAAAAGAAAAAAAATTAAAAAGAAAAAATTTATCCTAAAATTTCCATTTTTTTCTCCCCCCCCACCCCCACAGCCTTTGTTATTTCTAAATACTCTTATGTCAACTGTGGCTAATTCTGTCTTCTTTGCTATCCTCAAATATCTGAACCTGCCATAGGAAAAAAAATATAGATGTCTTTGGTTAGAAATGCTCCCACTTTTTTTTCTACCAAATCTATGAACTTGTCAGCGAATTTATCCAAAGTTTCCTCCTTTTTCTTTTTCGTCCTGTTGCTAAACTGGGAAAGGTCCCTCCTCAACCCTTGTTGTCCAAAGTGCTCTGGGTCCCTTTCACTTTGTTCCATTTTACCTTCTTGACAGGACTTTGCTGCACTTCTTATCCATCCTTCCTTCTGTTCTCTCACAGCTGCTGCTCATCAGCATTGACAAAATTTCAGTTCAAATCTCTTCAATATGTTTAAAACCCCTTGCTCAACCCATGATCCCCCACCTATCCTTCATTTCCTTTTCTCCCCTCTATCACTAAGCTTCTGCCCTCTGGCTTCTATCTGAAACAGTTTTAGTCCATTTTGTTACTATAATGAAATCCCAGAGACTGGATAATTGGTAAAGAAAGGAGGTTCATTCTGCTTATGGTTCTAAACATCAAGAACACGACACTTGCATCTTCTCAGCATCCAGTGAGTAGCTTGAGCGTGTGTCTTCATGTGCAGAAAAGCAGAAGAAAAAATGGACATGGTCAGAAAAGAGGAAACATGAGGAGTGGCCTCAGTATATAACTGACCATTCCCCTGGAGCTGCATGAATCCCCTTAATAACCCAATCACCTCTTAAAGATCCCCCACCTGTTGGCACCTTAACATGGAGGACCAGATGTCACCACACATTTTGGAGGGATCAAACCACATTCCTATCACAGCAGTCTCCAACAGTCTATTCTCCAACCAAAGAGCAGGATTTGGTTCCTATTCACTTAATCTTCTGGAATCACTGAACTATATCATCCATTCTGTCCTTGAAGAGCCACCCCCTTGGCCACTAGCACATTGCACCCTGCTGTTTCTTCTAGTATAGCTCATGTCCTTTACTCATCTCTGTAACTGATGGTTTTCAATTCCCATCAATTTCACAACATTTTTCAAATCCAGATCTCTAGCCAGAGCTGCAGTCTCCCTTCCCTCACTGCCTTCTGGTCACCTTCACTTGGCATATCCAAGAGACAGCTCATACCCATCACCTCTAAAATAAGATGGGCTGTCTTCCCTAAAGACCTGGTCCACCTCAGGAATTCCCTACATCAACAAATGTCCTTTGCATACAGTTGCCAAGTTAGACATGTGGTTCATTCTTGACACTTCTTTCTTCTCCTCCTCAAGCCTCACATCTAATCCTTCATCAAATATTTTCTATTCCATCTCTTGAATACCTCTTGAATTGACCCATTTTCCCCTTTCTAGTCCATTCTCCACAATGCAGTCAGAAAGCAATCAGAATGAGCTTTGCAGGACTCAAATCTGAAATCAAGTTCTTTGCCTAAAGCCCTTCCGTGGCTACTTAACTTTGCTTTGGAGATAAATTCCAAACATCAACTGACAAGGCTCTGTGCAAGCTAGACCCTGCTTTGCTTTCCAGCTCTGTCTTCTTTACACTCTTTTGCTGTTCTACCCCACTCCCCGGTATAGTTTAGACATTCCTGTTCCCCAAAAGTCCCTGTGTTAGTGCAGGAAGGGCAATGATTAGATCATGAGAGCTGTGGCCTGATCAGTGGATTGGTCCATTTGGTGGGTTGGTAATTCCAATGGACAAATTGGTTGGTGACTGTAGGCAGGTAGAGTGTGGCTAGAGGAAGAAGGCCATTGGGGGTGTGACTTTGGGGCTTATATTTTGTGTTAGAGTCTGTAAACAAGTCAAAATAACACCTGGCATTTTGCCAGGGGAATGTTAGAGTTCATAAACAAGTCTGGATGGTGCCTGGCAAAATGCCAGAGGGAGTGGTTTGAGAAGTAACAAAAGCAAGCCATTAAGTGTGGAGATTCCTGATTGGTTGACTGATGTATCTAGTTTATGCTAATTAGATAAGCTGTGTGGAATGTATAAATACTGCTCCTGTCCTGCAATAAACGGTTTCCACTCCTGCTGTATCAAGTATACAAGTTATTCATCACCCCCCGGTTATTTTGCTGCAGCTGGACTGCGGCAATTTTGTCCCTGGCACCTATCTTTCTCTGCTTCCTGTCTGCCATGAGCAGAGCAGTGCTTGTCTACCATGCCCTTCTGCCATGATGTTTGGCCTCAACTTGGGCCCAGAACAATGGCGTCCCTGACCATGGACTGAGACCTCTGAAAGCGTGATCCCCAAATAATTTTTTTTCCCCTCTGAGTTGTTCTATTCAGGTATTTTGGCTACTGGGAGGAAAAGTTGGCTAATATTTCCTGGCCCCACCTGCACCATGCTCCAGCCACATTGAACTTCATATGTTGTGCATCCTGCCAGAAACACTCCTCTTACCTCTTCCCCTCTTGCTGCACGATCATTTCTCATTCATCCTCCCGATCATGGCCTAAATTGCTCAGATGTCCTGTAAGGAGTTTGTCTCATTATAGTTCTCCTCATGCTATATGGTCATTTTCTGTTTCCTTAAATGTACCCCTACTAGATGACAAGAGGGTGGGGACTCCAATCAGAGTTCCCAGAGAGAGGCTGCTGACCACCTAACTACCCAAAGCCCATCCTTTCTATATGCTTAGAAGGACCCTCGTCATCTCTGATAGTTTTCTTGCCAAACATTAAGCCTAGGAGTCCAGGATTCTAGGCACCCTGACCAGGTGGAGTTTGGGGGAGAATAGCCATACTTGTACCTTTCAGGTGAGGTTGTACTGATTCCAACCCTGGTGGAGCTGTGCATTCAGGACAGGATTTTCACTTAACGATAATTGGGTGAGCATGTTCACACATTGGTTAGCTTTCTCACACCTTCAAGCCACCAAGCCAGTAGTGTTATAAATGCAATGTACTTCCTTGTGCTTGATAGACAGAGTTAATGAAAGAGTGTCAGAGGGTCCAAGTCCTCGCACATGGTGTTAGCATGCTCTTACAGAGCATTGCCTCATGGTCCCGTGGCTTAGAAGTCAGACCAGAGGTTTCTGATGAAGCTTAAAGTTTGTGACTTCTTCAGAAGCAGTCTGTGTTCACGACTCTGAGGTTCCCATGTGTGGAACAATGTTTTCCACTTCTGAATGCCCCTTGCTTGGCACGGGAGTGGCATAGTGAAGGTTTTTAAGAAATTCAGCAGGTGTGGTCAGGACAGGAAAACAAAAACCACGTTGGGTATTTTTTAAAAGAGAGAATTTAACGGTCTCTCAAATCCTCAAATCCAAACCTTCATCAAATATTTTCTATTTAAAAATAGAATTGGTTACCCAGATGATAGGAGAGACAAAAAGCCAAACAGAAGAAGGCAAATCAACTCAGCAGTTAGCAACAGCAGAGAGGAATTGGCACCATGGTGCAAAGGCTGAGGTTCCATGGCTGGAGCTGGAACCCTGGGGACCTGTCTGGTGGGAGCCTGAGATTCAGTTATTACCAGAAACACAGTCTGAGGTCAAGAGGGAGGGAAGCTCTGTCTTAATGTGATCCTTTTCTTCCACTGTCCCTCCACGGGCTCCGTTGAAATCAGTTGACAGGGTCTAGGAAACAGTCTGCAAAGGTAGCACCTCCCTTCCCTGTTGGGAGTCCCCAAGATGACCCTGTGATTTGCTAGTAGGACACACCAGCCTCAGTCATTTCGTAACTACGATTTATTATAACAAAAATACAAATCAAACCCAGCAATGGGCAAGATAGACAGGAAGCAGAAGCTAACAAGGGTGTTCTCCCAGGCCAGCCCCACAGGATACACTTCACTCCCGTTAATGACATGTGACCACCCATGTGTGATGCTGTCCACCAGGGGAGCTCCAAACAGACTCCATATCCAGGGTTTTCGTGGGTGCTCTTCACATTGGCACCCTCTACCTCGCTCATATCCAAATTCTAGGCTCCCCAAAGTGAAGCAGGCATTTGGAATAAACAACACTATTGTGTTTTTTTTGTTGTTGTTTGCTTTTTTGTTTTTGCAGAATATGGGCACAGGGAGCCACACTTGTCCATTAGGAAATGGTAGGAAGATTCCTGAAATCCAAGTTCTACATGCCAGGCAAAGGCCAACCCACCTTGCCAGCAGGCCTCTCTTGGGGGGTCCATTTCTGGTTTGCTATGGCAACTCTTCTGCACACCTTCCTCTAATACTGAGTGGAAAAGGGA